TGACTACTTTAAATGTCAGGAAAATTGCATCAGTTCTATTGGATTAATTACTAAAGAAATCCAAACCAAAGGCTCGTTTGGAATATTCCAGGTAACATGATTCTCGGTGTGAACTTGTGTACTACCAGTCAGTCAGATCCTTACTTTTCTACTTCTCTGAGACACTATTTCTGAGAGCAGAGGACATATTGAAACAAGTTTTTCTTGACCATAACTGCCTGCATTCAGTTTATCATGTTACTTGGTCAACAAATGACATTAGGCGTATTGTATTAGGTAACTAGGAGAAATTGATCTGTAATATTTTAAAACCTTCTCGTGTGAAGTGTTTGTGACACATGTTATGTCTGCTCAGCTACAACCTTCCTTGGAAAGTGATTTTAGTTGATATCGGATCAGTTCATAAAGGTTAGGAGTGGCCATTAAAACATTACACCGATCTCTGAAGTCTTAGACTGTTGCTTCGATGTGTGTAGAGTGGTGAAGACTGGTTGTATGGGATACTGGATGTGCTAAGAATTAACGGCAGAACTGTTGGTGACTCGGCTGTGACTCAGATTTACTAACCTAATGTCAACATTCCTTTTCTCCACTTCTGTGTGTACGTTTTCGAAGATTTTCAAGTAGAATTGCTGCGCTTTTGTTCCACACCAATAATCCTGTCAGTCTACCTTATACTCAACTATTTAGAAAAATATAAGGTTACAGTGTGGTGAGAGCTGTCTGCTAGCCAAAGTTGTAGACAACAATTGACGTCAATGTTTACATCCCGAATCAGGGTCATGAGAAAAAACAAGAACAAAAACTAACTTAACAACCAATCACAACAAACTTTGCGTGGGTGGACACGATTAGCTGATATATGGTTTGACCTTCAAAGAAATGGCCACAAAGAGATGACAGAATAACCTTCAGCAGGAAGACAACCAATCAGAAGACGTTGCTTCTCTGTTAACAGTAACGCTAATAATAATGTACATAAAAATCTATAAATATCTGTTGATTTTCTGAATAAACGATCTGTTGCCTGGCCCTTGTCTTCTGTCGTTACAACAGCACATTGATACACTTAGTTTTCTTGTAATATTTAGGTATTTAAATGATAAGTAATGTATAGAAGTACTGCTGCACATACAACCGAAAAAAGCGTGACACTAAGTCCCAGTGACTGACTGATACCAGTTAGTTGAAAATTACTCACTTCTGTGAGCCAGTAGTGTATACTGTCACGCCTTCTTGATTGTCATTTATGATGTGGCAAGCTGGTCACGTGTGTTGAGCATAATAATTTCTGTTTCCGAAGTGGACTGTGGTGAACTTTCTCCTAGATTTGCAAATGGCGAATTAGGCTCTATATTTGTCAAAATCTACTTAAAACAAGAACTCAGATTGTGACACGGATGTTTAAATTTTGTTTGTGTAAAGCATCTATCATCAGTTATAACAGGCAGGAATCCTATAGCAGATTATTCATTGTAATTCAACTTATTTGAAGGCTCTCAATATCGAGTTATTGATGTTAGGTACCTTCTACGGGTTGGATAGTTCACTTGCTAATTTTTCATTATCATAGAAAGCACCTTCAATGAATACTTGAATTGGAAGCTTCACAACTAAACCGACCACCTCAGAGAAGAAAACTACCCACTGACGTCATCTACTTGAGCAACAGATATGTAGTCAGTTATACGCTGAAACTTCTCCTGAAGGCTTAGTTTATCTGAAATCATAGTTGTATCACAGAAAGTCGAATAAATAGAAGTTTTTGTATAATATAAAGGCTTCTTTTTATTTTGACCGGTAAAGTATATTTACGGTACATAGCGCAGAAAATAACAAATACTGATTGATACAATGATACAAAATGGAAATGATTCGAAGGTTTTAACTCCGTTGTTCAAATTAGTCAACTTGAAAACCTACAGTTTACTTTGCCTTAAGTAGGGAGGCTTATATTCAATCGCCTTACGGTAGGGAAATCAGTAATATAATTTATAAAAAGACACTGAGATCTGTCAACCTTAAAACGGGCTTATTATTGTTGGAAAACCCTGCCGTATGCTCTACCATATAATAACATCACATCCATAAGTATATAACAATTCGCAATACAAAGGGAGGAGTAGTCGTGAGTTGTAGGTATGACAGAAGGTGGCGGACATGTGACTCGATGTTGCAATGAACACTGTCAGCAGACTATTAGTCTTGTTCATGGCATAATCTATTAGTGACATGAATCGTAAGCATCTTCTCATTTATAAACTGTTGTCTTAGGACGTATTTGGTACAGAGATCACCTTTAAATTTCTGATGTCCTTCGAACTAATAATTCCATGTGGAATGTAGGGCTTCAAGCTTGAGCACTGATGTTTCCGTAGTGGCAGTGTTGTTTCTACAGGGTGGGATCACCGACCCTTCTCCCAGTTTTACCTCTTTTCTGGGCTTACGTTTGGCTAGTCGGTAAACTAGGAGAGGTTAAAGAATGATTCACCTGGCATTTTTAACAAGACTATGTGCATAGTTAGCGATCATTCTATCAACGAATCATCGATGTATCAGATGCATGATCTGGTACTGAATGGTTACTTAATGACCTACTGAATCAAGGCAAAACTAACAATTAGTACTCATCATCCTACCTATGTTAGGCCTGTTATATCTACACATAAATTGCTAGAAGAATATTAGAAATTACAACAATCATGAGTTAAAATACTGTATACTCTTGTCTTTAAGTTATCTTGAATTACTGAGTTCTGATAATGTCATCTGAAGATAGAAGTCATTTCAGAGTTCATTAATTAATGAGCTTATAATGATTTAACCACGTTCGTAGTTCATTAACTGAGTAATTAGCAACCACTCATGTGGTCTGGGTTAAATCCTCGGCCAACGCATTCCTGTGCCTGGCTTAACCTACTGTTAGCCCTGTAAAGCTGGAAAGTTGTGCGTGGGGCCAGAAACTATACCCCGGCTGATGGGAATGTAGGTCTCAAGTTTGAACAAATGCACTACAGATTATTACTACTGTTGTTCCCTTGGGTTCAAAAATCGATCATAGGGGTACAACAACACGTCCCTAGTTTGTCCTATTCTTTGCTGTTCTCTTTAAATAGTCCCTCGATTGCATCTAATTTCTTATTAACTCCTTGCGCGACCTCCTCCACATCACCTCCGGATGCCCCACTCGTCATTTTCCACTCGGAATGCACTCGAGCTGTGGCCTGTGACGCGATGTCACTCAACTGTCCCATCAGCGTGTGCCCACTCCACTTGCATTTTCCCCCATATATTTGTTGAGCAGTAGGTTCCTGGATGGTTTGTTCCAATGGTTTATTGTTGCTAATTTTTCTGGTTGGCCATGTGATCTTCAATATGGAGCCGGCGGAGGCAGATATCAATAAGAGTTTCCACGAACCTGTTCAAAATGCTTTTGGTGACGCGTGCGACAAGTTTCAGACACATGTATTAGCGGTGACTGACTTGATATTTATGTTGGGAATCCAAATCTTGTTCTTTTTGCTTGGCACAGAAGATTTCCAAAATGATTTCAGAGTGATGAAGGTTTGCTTTGCCATTCCCATCCGTTCCGCCTGTAGTTAAAATGACGCTGCCTGGCTGGATGGGTGAAGGAAATGACCTCTTTCAAATATTCTCCGCTGATAGTAATTACTGCTTGATGTTGTTGGTCGGTTCTTCGAACTGCATCACAGAGGGACCGTTTATGTGATAAGAACACCCAATTTTGTAGTATTATTTTTTACTGCATTAGATGGTTACAGGTGACCGTCAAAAAGTCATGCACATAAGTTTCGTCGGTAAGGTCTGTCTTTAAATTTGACTGATGGAATTCAGTCTGCACCATCACCAGGGACTAAAGGTTTGACATTAGATGCTACCTAGTGTCCATTCAGAGTATCCTTAACTTTGAAGGAACTCTTGTCCTTCCTGAGATTCGCACCAGTGCTGTAGTGAGAGACGTTCACACTGAGGTATTCGGCCTGACGACTGACCTCCTGTCATGGACTGTCATGGATACTTTGATTAGTCACCAGCCACTAACGTAAAGGATTAGGCGCATACCACTAAATACTCCCTAGTGATCAATCAACTCAATATTATTTAAGGTGTTTTTACTATGTCACTGTGTGTTTTACATCAAGTGTAATTATTCTATGACGAGATTATAATGGAGATGGATCGAAACACATTCTGAAGAGACCGCCAGGTGCCTCTGCGTGCTATACATGTCCTCCAGTAATACCTGAATTGAAAGCAGCAAGTTGGGCGTCCGAGGGTGACATGAATGAAATCGTGTGAGGAGGAGATGAAAGCCTATTGGTAATCATGATACCAGCTAAAGAAGCCTGCAGAGAATGTATCCCTGAAGCCCTATCTTCCATTAGAAACTCAACGGAATAATTTAATTGGTGGATGGTGACTAGCAGTGAAATCGAGGATAACGCGCATTTCGTCCTACTTGGGACTCGTCAGTCAGTGGATGCACCTGCATTTCCCAGTGAGTAATGATGTTCCCACTGAGGCTCGAACCAAGTGCCCATAGTTTCAAACGTCAAAGCGTTATCCAGCAGACCTCTTGTGCAACGGATTCCACTGCTAGTCACTATCCATCAATTAAATTCTAATTACATGCTCAGACATCGTCGAAGCCTGTGCAGAGGAAGCCGACATGATAACCTGAGACCGAGAAAATCTAAAATTCAGTTAAACGGAATAATAATACTAATGGCATCATAATATATCACAGAATGGAAATAAGACTATTTCAAATATTGGTTCTTTTAAACATTTGATAGAGACTCGTTTAAATGGATTTGTGTAATCTTTATTTCTCTACTCTTTCGGGATCTTTTTTATGTCCTTAGCCTATTTTTTAAAGTTATTACTTAATATCAATATATATATATATCAATATATGAAGGAATTCGTAAACACATTAGAACACTTTATTACACTTTGAAATTACTCTCTGAACTCACGTGATTCAAGTTCTATAGCTTCAATACTCAAGCGATGATATATCTTATACTTGATATTTTCAATAGCATCCACTCCACGGATAGATTGTCTGTATTAAAAGGAAATTATTGTGAAAGACAATAATTTTTTTATATAGTCAGTTTCATAAGAAACGGTGATTTGTCATGAGTTTAGAAAAAGAAATTTCAATACAGTATTACAAAATTAATTTCTATTACTCTTTTAAAAATCAAAGATGTAGGAACCAGGTTTTTATACTATCTCTGAGGTTTGTCGTTGATGAAATAATGGAGATAATTAGAGAACAAGGAATATCAATCGATATATGTATGGTCTGGCAAAGTTAAGGTGATCGGTATCAGGATTTTCTGCTAGTGTTGTGTATGTGTGTGTTTACGAGAGATCATACTATAAGGAGCAATGTTGTTATTAGCAGTATTATTTCCTTAGGATGCTGGTGGAGCATACAGCTTCAGAAGCATATGTGTATGTCACTCTCTTCTCTGTAGTCCTTTGCAGCAGCCTTGTCAATTATAACTCGTAATTTTTCCCCCTCACACGATTTCCTCCGAATTACTTTCAGGGAAACGGCTATTTCGTCTTTTCTCGTTCATGTTCCACTTGAGGGCCTTTTATGACGCATGATTTCACTCAGCAATCTCGTCAGTGTTTGTCAGATTCATCTCCGTACTTGTTGGAAGATAGAATGTTGTGTGTTTAGCTTCACTACTGAAATTTCTTACAGCTTTCTCATTGTGGCCGACCGAGTGACCTTCAGTATCAAGTGAAGGCAAGTGTGAATGAAATTCTGAGACAGCTTATTAGAAATGTTCTAGATGACCATTTAAAAGTGATTTCGTAAGAAAAGCTAGAATTCTAAATAAGAAGTCCATCTGCCTTTTAAGGTGCCGATCGACACATAAACAGGTCAGTTACCAGTGTAATTCAACTCTGATAACTCTTTCAGGCAGAACCGCTTAACGCTAATTTTTGTCATTTAGATGATGATCACCAAATATGGAATCAGGGAGACTTTTTTCCTCCTCTTTAGGGCTCATCCGTAAGATGTACAGTTAACTCAGTGGATGATGTTGTCCTCACTGAGACTTGAAGAACCCAGCACTCAAACGCCAACGCATTATCAACTAGACCGTTAGTCCATGGGAGCCACCTCTTGTGCAACGACAATCAAATAATAATCATAATAACATCTGTCAATAAAAATTTGAACATCATTAAAACCCTGAAGGAAATATATTGCACAATTACTACATATGTTCATTCATGTCTCCTTAATCACCTCTGTACAAATTCATGACACAAAAAAATGTTTGAAAAAGACTAACTTAAAAAAACTTTAAAACATACAGAGTGGAGATATAAAAAAGATCTAAATATTTGTAAAAGTGTTTTAGTTTCACATGTGTTCTGTTTTTTAATTACCAGAAAGCGGGGTTTATTGTTTTTCTGGCGCCAAGTTATAACCATGAATGTGGAAGATTATTTTATGTTTTTTTTTCAATTTAGCTTATGCCTACTTAACATATGGATTCGGTGATTCTGATGAAGTCGCTGGTACAGTTAAGAAAATATAAATATTAATTAATATTTTGAAGACAATTGTATAACTAATATTTAAATAGATAGCAGTCTTATTTTCCTGATTAAGGAAGTGGAACGCTATTGTTGTTTAAATCGGTTGCAACAAGTTTTAGACTGTCTGCGTGCTGATGAAGAGTCCAAAACTAGGACGAAACAGCTGTTCAGTACTCCCAGGTTTTCCAGTGGCTCTCTAACCGATGTCAGCTCATCTTGAAATCCTGTAACTAATCAATCAAATCCCTACAAACCAATACTTGAAGATTTAGACTGTTTGTAGATAACCTATTTTCAATGGAATTGGTGCCCATAGTTGTCTGCATGCATTGATATTTGTGAATGGATGTCATGTCTTTTGACGGCCACTTTATGTTCATGCATGTGAAAATGAAGAGGATGTAAACTTTGTCCAATGTATATATGGTCTTTTTCACAGTCGTTGATATCAACTTTCACCGATGCTACAACTTTTTGGTTGACATAGTAGAGATGAAAAAGATTTTGAACAAAGCAAGAACAACAGTGGTTTGTACAGAATAATATGGTTAATGTTCTTGCTTTATTCCAATTCATCAAGGAGAATCAATGCATTAAGTTTCTAAAAGTGATTTTGTTGGTTTATAGGCGATGGCAATTTCATAAAGTTTCAGTACATTTGCATTTATTTCAGAGATGTTCTTCAGATATATTAGGACAGTTTTCTCCGTGTTATCATTGGATATTTTTGAAGAGTTTGAAGGTATGCATTTTTGAGGGAGTTTTCTGGATACAAGTTTTCGTATTTCCCAATGAATGAAAAAAAGCGATATTGTTTTTACTGACGTCTCGCCATTTAATGCTAATAGCTTTATCAAAGTATTATTAAACCAGAAGAAGTGAACACCATAGTGCATCTGTTCGACCACCAAGAAATCCATTTGAACTGGAAAAACTTGAAAATTCATCAGCTATAGGTCTACATGCTATAGAATCAGGCCACAAATCTGATTTTGACAATATTGAAATTATCATCCAGAAAAAGTATTTTAGAAATCACAAAGAACGTTTAATATCAGAAGCCAGCACTTCATATCAAGTGGAATCCAAATTGTCTGAATAGGAGTGATGGACTAAAACAGAATTTGACCTGGTTACAACACTCCCGATCTCTCGCATGAAGTGACAAAATCAACACGAATGTGATAAGCAATTTCATTATGTAAACACACGCTGCTTTTATAATTTTACACACTTATCGAATCCAACAATCTACACCTGGTTTTGTTATCTTTATCAATTGGCCAGTTTGACAACGAAAAATGACCCCATGCTGAGGAACGATGATTAAGTTGTTATATATAAGCTGAGTGGATTTTGTAAATTCTGGTTTAATAATACTACTTTGATAAAGCTATTAGCAGCAGCATTAAATAGCGAAGCGTCAGTAAAAACAACAATATCGTTTTGTTTTTCATTCATTGGGAAATACAAACAACCTTTATTAAAATGAATATCGAATACCCAATGCCCATATATTTCCAAACTGTTAGAAGTGAACTTGGTTTGGACATATCATTTTCTGGATATCCATTTTTCTGGCAAAAGGTCATATGATATATCTACCTATCCCTTTCAAGGTAGCAGTGCTCCAGTGCACCATGGCTCTCCTACATAGTTTTTGCACGCAACCACCTATCTAAAGCGGTTGGTTGAAAACTGTATCAACTAAGCATTTGATCTGTACGAACTGATTTTCTGCATAAATGAGTTTCTAATTTTCTTATACCCACTCACTTGACTAAGGCGTCTAAAAAATGGAATTTTATACTCGGATTCCTCTTGTCTTGTAAATCTGATAATATAGAAAACATTACTGATTAGGTTGTCAGTGTTTTCTAAATCATTTCCATCAGTTATAACGAGTGTGGAATCGATGTTTTAAAACTTTGGTTTTGATTTTTGCTGAAAATATGCTTTCAAGCCTTTGCATAATAGCTTCAGTAAGCAGTCCTGATATGAATGATCCCATAGATGTTCTTTCTGCCTGTTCATATTTTGACCAATGAATTCAAAATTCTCTCTGGAAGATCTCGAATCCATTTTGCAGCAGCAGCAGCAGCAGCAAGTTCAAAATGAAGCAGCTCAACTAAAATTAATCGAAACTGTCACTCAGAAGCTGTCCGTTCAAGTTCCTTCGACATCTCATTCAGACAAGTATCTGGTCTCGTATTCGATGCATGGTTCAACCGTTATGAATATGTTTTCCGTATTGAATGCTCCATGTTTGATTATGCTGCCAAAGTCAGTAAAGCAACTTTATGCTTCGTATTTTCGAGTAATCAGGTAGCTATTCAACACTGCTAGGTATACTGTGCATGGTTTGTTTTGCTAATTTTTGCCGATTCTATGTGTATAATGCTGTGGCACTTAGGGATAACATTATATCTAGGTCCTCTGTTTGAATGCCTTTGATTTTGATGAAGAGATCACAGGAATCTGTTAAGCATTTTAGTTTTCTTTAGAATTTTTTGAATAAATTATATGTTAGGGTTTCTGCAAATGAGATCAATGATCGTAGATGAATATTTAGTTTGCTTGGGTTGGTTCAACTGTAATATAAAGATAAAACAGTCTCTGGCAAGTTTTTTAAGGGTCCTTTGGATTCCAGTGTCTAATGTTTGAATACCGTTTGTTGTGACCTGTTGAAAAACATCTTTATCTTCTGAGCAAGTCTTCCGCTTCCTAGGTGTATTCCTCTTTGTCCATTGGTACTGATAATGGCAAATTTGTCTAACCTGTAAACTGTTATCCAACTGTATATAGTCGATAGTGAATATTGTGGTGGTGTGAAACAGACAATGGCTTCCAACGGAATATTATTCTCACGGTAAGAATCATTGTATTTGTCAGTGTTAACGTCTGAATACTACAATCCCTACAGTTCAATAGTGCATTAGCAACAGAATACTATATGTGTATTTGAACATTCTATTTCATGTCGTTTAATGTAGTAAACCAAAATCACACGCTCAGAGATTAGTTACAGAATATAAACAGCATAGATATAAATAGCTGTCTGATCATTTCGAAAAAAAATATAGCTTGGCTTCTGTGTCCTGCCTCCTGCTGTTACAATATAAGCAAATTAAAGCGCTCAATCAGTTAGTTCAAAATGGATGGCGAACTTTCAGTTTAAGAAATATCATTTTTGGTAGAAGCCATCAGAGTAAAGAAATATGCCTACGAAGCTTATATATATATATAAGGACAGTCATTGTGTCCCTTGATTCACATAAAAATTAATATAGGACAAATTACAATGTAACATTAACAGAATCAACAGCTATTACAACATTATAAACTACTTTAGCATACAGGCGGAGAAATAACGGCTTTTTGACAACTTGACTTCCTCTACGTCTTGCCACAGTAAAAACAATTTGATCTGTAAACATGAATATACAGACAGGATCTTTGCGTTCCTAAAATGTGGAAAAAACAATGAATGTTTATAATGTAATATTGTAACGACAGAAGATAAGAGGCAGGCAACAGATCGTTTATTGAGAAAATCAACAGATATTTATAGATTTTTATGTACATTATTATTAGCGTTATTGTTAGCAGAGAAGCAAAGTCCTCTGATTGGCTGTTTTCCTGCTGAAGGTTATTCTGTCATCTCTTTGTGGCTGTTTTTTTTGAAGGTCATACCATGTATCAGCTAATCGTGTCCACCCACGCAAAATCTGTTGTGATTGGTTGTTGAGTTAGTCTTTGTTCTTGCTTCTTCTCATGACCAAGATATGGGACGTAAACATTGATGTAAATTACAGACAGCTCTCGCAACAATATGTTTGATTGAAAGCGAAGGTTTACAGCATTAAAGCTGGTAAATAGTCCCAGTTTTGTGACGGTAAGCTACGAAATTTTATGTCAGTATCTGAAAATATTTGAATTACTCTATCATTATGCCTTCGATACGTTCAGGTCGTCAGACAAAAGTAGTTACTCTGCGTTAAGTTAGGACTGATCTACCAAAACTGATTTTGCTCAATCCTTTCCATAAGTAATATGATGCTCGTCGTAAATTACGATTAAAATGCAAACTGTGTGAAGTTGCTGGCTTAAAACTCAATCCTTCCTCTTTTCTATACTGATCAATTCCTAGTAAACTGGGCGAAGAATTCTGGTAGCTAATTAGGCGAGTGGACGGGGTGGCGATGGGCTCCCCAATTGGTCCCATTTTGGCTGATTTCTTTCCGGAAAATGAACTGGAAAATGAACCTTTAAACAACCTAATCAGAAAGTTCTCATTTTATTGCCGGTATATGGATGACACCTTCATTCTTTCTGATAATGATTTGGATAGAAGTGTAATAATTACTGAATTCAATAAAGTACATTTGGCTATGAAATTTACTTGCGAAGAAGAATTTCAAAACAGAATTGCCTTCCTGGATATCCTCCTTACAAGAAAACCAGGTGGTAGCATCAAAAGAAATTTACATAGAAAAAGTACTTGGACAGGACAATATAAACATTTTCATAGCTTCGTTCCTATCAAGTACAAAAGAAATTTAGTGAAGACCCTCAGCCACAGAGTTAGAGCTATGTGCTCAGAAGAAGTAATTGAAGATGAATTAAGCATTGTGTGTGATACCTTGATTGAAAATATCAATCCCGACGAATTTAGCAAGAAACATATGACAAAGAAATCGGAAAAGGACTACTCACTATCCCGTAAACAAGAAGCCACTTCACATACGACTGCAATTCAATGGCGATAAACCAAGTGAAATAATTACGAAGAAATTAAGAAAATCAGTTCAAAGAACCTTTTAATGCTGGCAAACTACACGCCTTATTCTCTACACGACCGATGGTGATTCCCCGATTGAAAGATGAAGTACCTAAACAAGCCAATTCAAACTTTATCTACCAATTCAATTATGCTTGTGAGGCGAGTAATATCGGCCGTTGATCTAGGAGCTTGATTTTTCGTGCTCACTCGAGAACACCTTCCACTATGGCTAAGTAAAGGTGTAGTAGAAGCCGTCAACAGTTCGATATTAGACCACCCGGTCCAAACCGGCCACAAAACCAGCATGGAATAATCCTCCTCTATTATCTACCAAGTACCAAATAAATTGCCGAAAGCACTCAGACACCGCCTACTCTATGCAGCAGAGGCTATTGAGATTTGCCTGGAAAAATCGGTGCTTTGTGTTCAGGAAAAGCACTTCCAGCCACTTCTACTGCCCTGACCTACAGTGGAGACTATTAATTCATGAATTTGTAGGGTTATCTTTCCTAATTTTTCTGATATTCAGTTAATTGTTATGTTGATGCTAATGAAATGTAATCCACTGATATTATTATTATTATTATTGATTTGATGTTATTTCAACAACATGAATGTTGTTAATAACACTAATTCATTCACTATAATGTATATATAACTGCAGAGCCTGATGATGAAGTTATCAAAAAGAGTATTCTTTGTTCAGTATCCGTTCTTTTGAAAACTAGGCGATAACCTATTCTTCAGTATATTAGTGGAGGTAAATGATGATACACTGGACAAAGGAGGAGAAATTCATGTGACATCACACTCTAGGTCTTCAAGTGGTTTCCAAATGGAAGAAATGAGCTGGACGTTCCACTGAGACATTAAGTAGATGAAATGAAGAGGAAATGAAAATTAAGCACAGTCATGAGTTCATTTGAAAGTGATGGCAGAATATCGAGCGCATTGGGTGCGTGTTTTTGAAGCTCTGTTCTACTCAGAATGCAAATGATAATAACAACAATAAAATGTTTCCTGTTTTGTCACTTTTTCCATTCTTTTGCTATCACTCTAAAGTTTCATAGGAGGGGAATGTTTTTTTAAGAGATGGGTTAACTAGCTTCATACTAAGACTTCTCTCTTTATTGGGTTTACTATCAGCTAGAGGAGATTTAGGACTGGATCAGTAACCGGGAGTCGAACCCGCATCACTTGTATGGGTGATTAGCATTCTGTCATTGTAAGATTGACATTCTTCTTACAGTGAACTTTTAAAGAATTCCGTTAACTTCTGTAGCTTCATGGTTACTTCAGAAGTTATGTAATTGTCGATTAAAAAAATGTATTCCCTAATGTATATTCACTATGTTGTACATGACATATCTATGAAAATGTTTACTAGTATGTGTATACCTATGATACAACTATGGTTATGTAATAGAAATTTACAAATTCACCTACTGTGCTATGAAAACTCTGTACTAGACATATACAATAAACTTACAAATCAAAATTTGATGAGCTTGTAAGTACGTCAGCATTTAGGTATTTTCGGAGAAATATCAGTGGCATTGTTTCTAACATTGTGAAATACTGTAAGCCTTATTAAACTCGAAAAGTATTTGATACCACAAATACACATCTATTTATTCATATTTTGCTGTCATTATGTCTGCAAATGTGCGCCGGTGTTTAAGGGGTAAAATGCTGACCGACCGAACACGTGGTTCATGTTTGACTGACAGTCCGTGTAATCCTAAGTCCGGCTTAGCCAATACTAACCACTACAGAGAAGAAAGGTTGAGCGTACGGTTAGCAAGTCAACAAAAACACTATTCAAATATTGGCTTGTAGGGATTTGATTGACTGCTTACAGGATTTCATCATGAGCTGACATTGGCTGGAAGACTGCTGAAGAGTCCCAAACTAGGACGAAACAGCTGTCCAGTACTCCAACATTTTCAAATGCTTCTCTAGCCCGACTTCATCTCACAATGAAATCCTGTCACCAAAAGCTCTATTGAAGCTTCAAAGCCTAAAACTTGAAGCCCTATGTTCCCGATCAAAACGGATAGGATTGAAAAAGCCTCTGTAAATACTCATTTCAAAGTGATAAGCTGGTAACATTCAAGTGTGATTTTTACTTCGTATGGGTTATGGTGAATATCAGTCACCATCATTTACTTCGGATGAAATGAATAAAGCTCTACTGAGTGAAACGACGACTAGTCAGCAGTTTTTAAATGTGTCTCTATCACAAAAATTCATTACAAAATTTCACTTGTGATAAAATGAATGTAATAACTTACTTCTATAGAAACAATATCATGTCGAACGTATTGACGATTTGGTGTGAGGGTCTAAAATTGCAAAGAATAATAATAATCTCTCACATTCTGACAAAAAGGATATAAACAATTCACACAAATATTAAAAGGTGGATGGTGACTAGCAGTGGAATCCAGGATGCGCATTTAGTCCTGATTGGGGCTCGTCAGCTGGATGTACCTGCATTCTGCAGTCAGTGATGATGATCTCACCGAGGCTCGAAGCAAGTGCCCATAGTTCCAAATGCCAAAGCGCTATCCACTAGACCACCTGAGCCACGAGAGTCACCTCTTGTGCAACAGTGTGCAGGTACGTCCAGATGACGAGTCCCAAATAGGACGAAACGCGCATCCCGAATTCCATTGGTAGTCAGCATCCACCAATGAAATTCTAATTGCATGCTCAGACATCGTCGAAGCCTGTGCAGAAGAAGCAGACATGTCAACCTGAGACCGAGCACTTCAGTCCAATCAATCGACGGGGAAATCTAAAATTCATTTAAATAATTTCACACAAAACTTTAGAAAAAACCTAGGAGGAAAGTAGGCTATAGCTCCTGAGATATTTATTTATTAAACCAGTGGTTCACCTTTTCCGAATATAGCTAAAAAATCATTTATTCTATCCGTGATGCCGATCTCTCTGTACAGTCCGTATGTATTGTTAATGTGTTTCAACAGGAACCGTATTTGCAATCAATATTTCTGAAGCCTTAGCTTTCGACTTCCATATATTTTTCGAAGTAGAAACGTTTGGTCCAAGTGGAACATGGGGCTTCAAGATTGAGTGATCAAGTTTCGTGGTGGTGGTTTCATTTTAACAGGATGAGGATGCTAGCGTCACGTCCAACCTTCCCTCTTTAACAGCCTTACTACCGGCTTAGTGAGGTTAAGAAGTGCGTCGGCTGGGTATCGAACCCTAAATCATGTGAGTGGTTGACGAGGAAAAATGTTTAGACAAAATATTAATCACACTTAAGCCATATTCGCGCTTAAAGTTCATGGCTGATTCGAGTCAGATCAGTAACCGAAATCAGTTAGAAAACCATTGAAAATCACGGATTAATGGGCATCTGTTCCCTCCTAGTTTACAGCAGTTCAGCAGTACCAAATGGACATCAAAGTCAGAGCTTCCAGGTTATGTGGTGATTCCACCGACCATTCAAATATTGGGATGCAGCCTAATGGCCCATGAATCATAACTTCCACCGATTCATGTCAGTTTCCGGTAGTCAAACAAAGATGCACATTCTAGCCCTATCAATTATCATTCCATCGGAGTAATAGTTACAAATATAAGGATATAATATTGTCAATATTCAAGAATTTAACAGTGATACAGTATTATAGTACTCTAACTCAGAGTCTTTTTGACTCAACTATATTAATTTAAGCATTTTGTTTCATGTTTTACTCAAAAAAGAGTGATAAGGGGAGAGACGATCATCTTTAGATTTCTCTTATGTGAACATAAAAGTGTATTATTTGTATTAAAAATGAAAGCGTAACTATTCATTGTACTACCATGTCACCGGATGATATGGTTTTATTTTTACAACAACAAAAAAACGATCAAACATTTAACTACTTACTGCTGGTGCTAAAAGTCTCTCAATCAGTTTAATACCATCGACAATATTTTCATCTTCTCCAGCAGCATGTACGGCGTTCACTCTTAAGGCTAGTCGGTGTATAGCACTTTCTGCTTCAACTAATAAGGCATGATCAGAATAATCTTTTGGAGTAGATTCTAGCAGACGCTAAAGAAAAGAAAGAAACACATATATGGTTAGTTATGAAAACGAAAGTTAATGAGAAATACACTGGAAATGAGCATTTGGAGCAACTGAAAACGGTTTGAGCAAAGTAGTTAACAGCCTGAAGGCATTGGTTATTAACGATTCAAGGAATCAGATCAGACAGCTCACAGTCTTCTTTGTGATTGGCTCAAACCAACAGTCAGAGACTTCATGGATTGATCCAAGATTTTGATTTGTCCAATCGCAAATCTTTTTCCCACTTAATCTCTCGTCAACTAGCATTGCTCATCGAGGAAGTTAGTCGCTTGGGATGCGTAACATGCGTTGTAACCATCGACATAGGTACCGCTTCTAAAAAACCTTAGGTTGGCTTTCTTTCTAGTCCTAGAATTCTACGCCTAATCTCGATGTTATTCACCCTATTATACGGCGAACAATCAAGGTCCAAGACGCTTAGCTTTCTCAACTCTTCCGCTTCCACTGCGTATATCTCACAGTCGTGCAGAAGGATTGAGTGAATTGCTGTGCCATACTGACTTCCACTGAACAACATCAAGTTATCACGTCTACGCTATAGATTATGTAATTTGGAAAATGCCATATGAACCTTTTGTATCCATGCTGCGATTCCGCTAGCAGTCGGTTCATTAGAGCACATGCAGATTTCCAAATAAATGAAGTGGTTAACGTCGTCACTCAACTCTCTCCCTATCTTTAAACTGAGAGCCGATTCAGATCTATCCTACAGCATCATCTTGCATTTGACAGAAGTGAACTGCATTCCAAAAATGTCGAAGATTTCTGCTCAAGATGTTGGAATAACTCTCCGTTTTTTCAGTGTTTTCATCTGAGGGAACGACAACGTTGATAAACTCTAAACGTCCCGAATTAAGTAACGCTGTGTTCTCTATATTAGTTTGTTTATTTGATGTATCACACATTCAGTGAAACAGTATTATTAACTGGATGAGGAAGTTTCGAACACAATTCATTATGCTTCATAATCATATCAGTTATAATCACACGACTTCGAAATATGAGTTTCATAGTTTTCTTAGTTCTCGCCTATTTGTCGTCGCTGGAGTAGTAGAATCTTCCATATGTCTAGGTGGTCAAATGTTAAATCATTCCTGCCACACGTATTTGCAGTTGATTGGATCAACAAAGCTTCCGTTATCAATATCTCCCTTCACCCTGTTACATTAGATTTTAAAATTGTCATCTTATCCCATAATCCTGTTGTGTGGTTTGTTGTGTGTAAATGCATTTAGTGTTGCTATGGTTGAACTGTTCATTAGATTTCTTATCTTATTCGAGTCAAATAATCTAAAGTTTGCTAGGTTTTTATGTTCGGCTAGTTTGACTGCCGCTGTTCTACTACTTTGACCTATGTTTTTGACCTGGCAATCATTCCAGTAGGGTATTAGATAAACTAAATTGTTTTGTTTTAAAGGCTTCACAGGATTGATACTTGAACCGGCAAAGCTTTTTTCTAATTGCGTTTATGGGTTTGAATACCACTTTTATTCCTGTATTGTTAAGAATTCTCCGTAAGGTTTCGAGTTTTTTTCCTTGTATGGAACAAAGGTCAAGGTAGTAGAACAGGTACAGTCAGACTAGCCGAGCATGAAAACCTAGCGAAATCTAGATGAGTTGACCCGAATAAGATTAGAAATCTGGAGAATAGTTCAGGTGCAGCACCCACTACTTACAGTTATACACAACCATATATAATAGGATCGGATAAGATGACCGTTTCAAAATCTAATGTAGCAGCAGGGTGGAGGGAGAGATTGATAACGGAAACTTTGTTTATCGAATCAACTGCAAATACGTGTAATAGGAATGATTCAACACCTGTCCATTTAGACATCTGGGAAATTATACTACTCCAACGACGACAAACAGGAGAGAACAAAGAAAACTATGAAACTCAAGTTTCGAAGTCGTGTGATCATAACTGATATGATTATGAGGCATAATGAATTGTTTTTCGAAACTTCCTCATCCAGTTAATAATACTGTTTCACTGAATGTGTGATACATCAAATAAACAAACTAATACGGAATTACTTACTATCACAGTGCCCAAGTTTTACACACATATATTAACACTCTTTTATTCTATGATATGTCTATTTAGGTAACTCATATGCGAGGATACCACTGATTTCATCAACGTTTACCAGGAAATCAATCCACGATAAATTCCAAACAAAGGTTACAATAAATCTCGTTTACAACGTCTTATAAATCTCAGAGAAACAAGTCATCTGACCACTGGGACTCATAAACTTGCAATCTGAAAAGAATTCATCAAAGGAAATGCACTTAAAAATATTTTCATAAATTTCATAACTTAGCATGACTGTTTACAGATGTCCATTAAAAACATTTCAGAACATTCATTAGGAAACAAGGACTACTTTTCACTAGGTTCTGTACATACATATATATATCCGTTTTCGCTAAGGAATAACTGTCACTGACCGTATTAATTAATAACAATAATGATTTACTTTATTCCAAAAACAGTACTTATGATACAGAATGGAATTCTCAGCATTTGTCACAATATTGCATCTGATTTACTCAAAGTGTATATAAAATTAAAAATTAAAACAAAAATTAATCGGAGGAATTTGTCCACATTAACGACATAATTATTAGATATAATAATAATAAATACTAATAACAGTGAGTTTGTTTCAAACGGTATTGTCGATTCAGTTTGGAAACTTTAGCATGTTATAGATTTTGGATCTAATGTTCTGTTGATATGGTATAGTGAGGTGAAATACAAAGTTAACAGTCATAATACAGCTTAAATTATGTCCACACTTATGAAAAAAAACGACACTATCTTCATCACATAGAGTACGTGCTAATATAGAAGTGGAATTTTTATACTTAGACGACGTGCATAAATCTTCAATCTTGTCTGAGAACAAGGACAAATTCTCTAGCGATCTGTTGCATGACATCAAATGCCTATCGGTGACAATGCCAACGATATGGCCCAATGGGATACCACTCCTCCTACTACAGTTTCAGAGTCTACGAAGTATGACATAGTCTTTTTAACAATCCAGGAAAGAATAAGGGTGAACAGTAAAGAAGAATAGGTAAAATACACGAGTTGACAAACTGTAAGAGGAGTGGTTGGGTTATGCCTGAGTGCCTCAACTTCTTAATGTAAAAAGTCAGACGAAATATTCTTTGAGAAATCGCTAAGACATGAGAAGACCAAGATAGGTCAGTTCTATATCAGTATCATCAGCTTTCTTGGAAATATCCAGATCACAGATGTTGCAAGTCTCCTAGAGTAATCTGGTCACTGTGTTAAGCTGAAGTATTGTAACATTACTTTAAATAATGCTGATTCCCGGTCTCGAACTGACTTCATTTAATGAGCTACTGAAAACCAGAGAGTACCACATGGCTGTCTCATTCTACTCTGTGGTGTCTTAGTCGTACACACCCATCATCCTATCAGGGATGAAAACCTCGGTCATCAAGTCGAGCCAACTGATCATTCAGCCAGTGGGACAAAATTAGCCAGAATTCGAGTGGTCTGAATTGATTTAGTCATTTGAAGTGTGTCACACCGACTATACCACTTCAAAAGAGAGAAGCCATTGTCTGTGTGTGTGTAGATCACTTCAGTTTGGGTGTACTGCAAGCACTGCTGGCTGATACAAGCAATATCTGACTATTTCTATCAACTAATCAGTAGTACAAAGGATCATATTTCGATTCCTATTTATAATCGTACATTCAGATGAACTGTCGTCAAGATTTGACAGAATAGTTCTGAAATATTTAGGCGCCGAGTGAGAAGTAGACATTTGTGTAAAATGTAAAAATGTAAAAAAATTCTAGATACTAACAGTTTGAACAGACATGAATGTGTGATGTTAGCTGATGCATAGGAAATCCTGATTAATAAATAAAAAATGGATATGTATCAATAGTTAATTAATAATACTTGGTCAAAGCTCCCTACTGTCCATATCTTATTATGGAGACGTTAAGAAATGTTTTACAACTGTTTACCCACACACACATACACACTCTGATCACAGCTCATAAAATTTTGTTTATTAAACTTGTTGATACTTGTTGAATGACTCATGATTGGACAAAGCTTTTAAAAACAAGAAATGTTCCTTTAATATATAAACCTCTGTAATGTTAATTTCGATTAATTTCCTTGAAGAAGTTCGGACCAGCTTGCCGGACGAAACGTTGGAATTACTCATTTCAATTTCGCTGAGATTTTACGAATATAATTTTTTACAAATGTCTATTATCGTATACATTTCTATTTGAGAACTAAACATTATTTACAGAAAATGCAATCCACTTAAGTAATAGCTGATTTAACAAGTTTTTTTGAGGCAGAATAAAGCTATTCCACTCAGGATTTGTTTCACAAGACCCAGACTTTCAGTGTTTACCAACCACCCACCCGATTGTCTTGTTACAATTCTGTCAACATGAATTATCTTGCAGTTAAATTCAAATCCAACTTTTATACTGGTATGTACCGTGTTGAGAACTTTCACTTTATTATTATTATTTCCTTTAGTTCCTAGAGGAACATAGGGCTTCAGCCATGCGTCTCCATTCCGTTCGGTTCTCTGCTAGAGTTTTCACCTGGCTCCAGGTCTGCCCACATGCTTTCATCTCCTCTTCACATGATCTCCTCCAGGTCACCCTCGGACGACCAACTCGTCGCTTCCCTTTCGGGTTCCACTCGAGGGCTTGTCTAGTGATGTCACTTGCTGGTTTCCTCAGAGTGTGGCCAATCCATCTCCATTTCTTCCTGCCTATTTGTTTCACAATAGGTTCCTGGTTGGTTCGCTCCCAGAGATCTTTGTTGCTGATCCTTTCCGGCCATCTGATCTTGAGTATTGAGCGAAGACATCTGTTAATGAAGGTCTGTAGCTTGTTTGAGGTGCTTTTTGTGACACGCCAAGTCTCTGATCCGTATAGTA